GGTCCTCGGTCCTTTGTAGAGTTTGTTCCGCTTTATCGACGGGTTCCCTAAGTCTGTTAGAAAAACAAGAACAGTTTAATTTATTTATAAGTGAAGTTTATTTTGGGACAACCTAATAATTAAGAGTGTGTTATAATGTGCCGTATCAACTGTTCGACTTTCCATAACACTCTTCCCTCTCTTTTGGACGAAAAGTCTAATGCAAGTTGAATCCGAAAGCGAAGAGACAAGTGTAGGTTTTATAGTTTTCCAGCTGGTGGTGAAAACCAGTTCTAGATTGTGATGACAGCTGTAATCCCGTTATCAAAATTGAATCGAAACAGAAATACACAATGGGCCTATCAAACGATCGTTAACGTCATTTTAGTGCACGTCATTCGTTTTTGACATTCAAGCGATAAAATTCCTATGTGTTAGAAGAAAACGACGCTCAATGCTTTTTTTTTTATTTGACTCTTGTAGGGGGAATCCAAAAGTTACGTTGATAAATAGAAATTCGCAGTCTCAACTGCTTCCCAGAGAATTTATCAGAATGTCCAAATCTGAGCAGCAATGTTCGCATTCCTCCTCTTTAACCGCACTTATTGTTACTACACTGAGCAATTAATTGTGTTGACCCAACCACCTCAATGAAAAAACTCATATTAAGCGTGAAAAATTTATTCATTCCGTTGCGCGAGGATAGCCATCTATTTATTAGCCATATCAAACAAAATCAGCTCAGCCATATCTCTCTCGTTCATTGTAAGCTAACTTGTGCTAACTAACTAAGCTAACTTATAACCATGCAATCAATCCAGTTTATAGAACACTGTTTGTTTGTCTTCTTTGTAAGTGGATTTCTTGGCAATTGGTCAAAATGTTGGTAAAAAATCCCCTCAGCTAATAGCATACTTGTCAAGTAATATGCAATTCTTATATGGGAACATGCGGAGGTTAAAATACTCAGAAATGTTATATCACAACTTTTAAGAAACGACATTTTGACACCCGTGACTGCAGATGTAAAATGAAAAGCAAGCAGTTCCGCCCTTGGTCATTCTTCACCTGTAACTAAGGAGAATTGTGCTGTAATTAGCTCCTGATATTCAATTGTGGAAGGAAACTCGTCCCAACAGCAGACTAATAGTCTTACAATTTTACAAAAATCCAGAGAAGTAGCTGTGCAATGTTATTTCCACTGAAAACGTTATTTAAACATTTGTATACGTACGTGTTATATTTTTCTAGCATTCAAGTTTCAATAGACCTGCCAAGACACAAATGGAGATGATGTTTCGAGATCCTTGTGACAAAATTAATGACCTTCGTAAAGATAAATTCACCATAGAACTAGGCTGGAAATTGCTTTTATTACCTACAAAACGGTCTTCGAGAAAAGTTATAAACTTTTTTTGAGCGGATTGCGAAGTCGCTGGATGAAAATGTACAATTACCCGACTTTCTTGCTAAACTATGAAACTCGGTACCATCAATGCTCTACTGCTTTACAATAAAAAGTAGCTAAGTAACCGAGTTGATGACTACATTTTTCTGATTCATGAAAAGTCCACCAGAAAAACACTTTTGTGAGTCTTTCGTAAAGTCGTCACGCCATTGATGACAATTTAATTACCAAGTTTCAAGATGTGCGCTGATATGCCAAATGGCCAACAAATTTTAATGTTTAAGGCATAAATGCAGTCCTTTGATAACAGCCCATATGGAGCTCTTCGTGATGATGAGATAACATCCGTATAGGCCGATCCAAAATTCTTGCACTAGATGCTAAATATTCAAAAAATATTTGAAACAACGTTAAAAGTTGTTTTGTATTTTACGATACCATAAGTACTCTATTCAACAATGTATGATAGAAATTTTATCCGACGCAAATTCGAAATGTTGAGCTAAAAAACTCGAAAATTACAGTCATTAGTATAAACTTCCAATCGCTTTGAATCGTTTACAGTTGGAAAACTAAAAGTAAAACTGGAATTTATTGAACTTTCTTTTTTTTTCAAAAACCAAAAAACAAAAAATCACGGTTTAAGTGTTCATCTCAGTCAGCATGTATGTATCACATGATTTGCTAAAATGGATTCTCGATTTGAAGATTGTTAGAAAACGCATGCTTTTTTCTTCACAACTATATTTAGTAGAATTGATTCGTTAAAGGACTACAATTTTTAAAAAAATCTGGTGAAACTTACAAGGAATGCATGAGTCGAAGTGGCCTTTTTAGATGGGACCTATACCATACTGAAAGGCTTAAATTGCTGATTCCAAATCTGCCTTCCTTATCTGCAGAGCGTTTATAACGAGGAGTCATGAGCGCTTATTGAAGCAAAAAATTGAATGTGCAAGTAGGACAAAAATAGTGATACTTTTTCTAGTTCTTTAACGGAGCAGTGATAACCAACAGAGCCCTTTATTTGAATACTCTCAAATAAAAAATTTATCACACTGGGTTGCATTGTTTGAGGGCTAGTAAGATTCTAGCAACTCATTTTATCCAAAATGCACGTTCAATTTTTGGCTTTAAAAAACGCTCATAACTTCTCGTGCATTAACGCTCTGCATATAGGGAAGACAAATTTGAAGTCCCCGTTTTATGCCCTTCAATACGGTATTTATCTCATTTAAAAAGGCCACTTCGACTAAACAAGCTTCCCTTGTGAGATTATTTGGTAGTTTGAAGACCTTTTGAAAGTAGTGCGCTAAGGGATTGTTTGGAGAGTACGGCGCTAAGCGAAGGAAAAAACTACATGAAATCGAAATTGAACCGAAACTGAAACATGCGGACCATATTGTTTGAGGTCGCCAAATATTTCTTTCGTAGAAGCATCTTTATCACGCAGTATCCATATTGATTATTGAATCACCCCTAAATTTTCGGCATGATTATTAATCGTTTTTGAATTCTATGCGTAGGCTTGCTTTCCTACGTGGCTCGGCGAGTGAAACGAACAAGCGCCATCGTTCTCTGCCCAAATTTCATTTGTTTTTTTCCGCCGCGTTCCTTGTCAAGTCGAGGCTGCCTACGGCTTCGTTGATTGCATGAACAAGCATAAAAAACGCAGTTGACGATACGATCGTGCATTTGAGTGTTCAAACATTGAGTATCTCCAAAAAAATGTCAAAGTATCCCATTCGTGAGTGTCCAGTCACGATGTACAGGCTAATAACTCGAAAAACAGCGAGCATTTTTCGAATCGCATATCGATCGCTTTGAAATCGGAAGGCTTAAGAGCTCTTTTAAAATCTGAAAGAAATTCGACCAATGCTGGGGGTTTTTTGAATTGTACAGTCATCATTACTATGTAACAGTAACCTGAGATGGAATGTCATCCATCCTCATCATTTTCGCATCAAAAACTATCATTGACAATGATGTTTAGTGACGTTCTATACGGTCTTAGTGACTCAACAACGAACAAATCACAAAACTTTTGCTTGTCTGTGCAGTTGCGAGTCCGATCACACCTTGAATAAACAATTATTTATTTGAAATATCTACTGCATACAGCTAAAACTAGCAGGATTACCAATATGTGGATCTTTATATTCATAGATTGTATATGTATAATTACGCGATTTGAAAGTACATACTTATGTACGACCCCAGTAATTTTTTTCCTGAAAAAAAAAACATCACCCATTTCTGCCTATTTTTGCTCCCACTTACTTGGTTTTAACCCTGGAACATATTTGTCCGCTGCGTTTTCACTTTATAATTATGTTGTGACGGGAAATTTGGTTGAAAACGCAAAATGAAGAAGATAGTTGCAAAAATTTAAGTTTATCTAGCAAAATTCACCATGTCGAGAAATATCTTGAGGTTTTGAAAAAACAGGATCCTGTATACCATTTTTTTGACGTACAACCTTTATGTGAGTCCTCTAAGTTTTCTGAATGAAGAGCGCTAGTGAAATTATAATTTCAAACTAATTTTCGAAAGAAAGTAGAACCGATTTTTCTGGCAGATTGCTGTTCAAACAAGAAGATTTTCAATATGACAGCTGACCCAAGAGCACACTTCTAATTGAATCCGGGGGGGGGGAGGCAGTAAAAACTTAATATTTTCTAAATAATTTTTTCCTACCAAAAATAACCGTGATAAAAGCTGTCCATCTTTTCCCTGCAAGGGTAAATTTCGAAACATAGTGAAGACTAGAAATTTTTCTAGCAAGTTGCTTTTAAACGGACAGTTTCCGATATTGTGCTTGAAATAAAAATGTTTCTAGCTCAGTCTGAGGGGTGGATTCAGATTTAAGATTCTCAGAATCTTTTCGTACTAGAATTAACCACAACCAAAGCTTAGATCTTTTTCCGTTCATGGGTATATTTTAACTCATTGACGTTGTGTACCACCGGTGGCCCACGCACTTTTTGCCTCCAGAGACGATGTGGGTCACCGGTGGCCCACTCTCCTTGCAAAACCATGTACTTTTCCCTAGTATTTTTTCCACAGTTAGTATTTTTTCCTTTTTGCCCACTTTAAATCTGTAGTCTTCTTCGTCCAAAAATCTGATTGCAGCTGCTTACAAAACAACTTCGCATTTCGTAAATCATTTCACAAAACTTTCCTACGCCGAAAGTTTGTGCAAAATCGCGTCGTCCCTCAGTGCCGCCACGCGAAATCAGGCGTCGTCGTCAGTGGGTTAAAACAAATTGGAATCGTATTTTTAGTTCATTGCTGTTCAAACAAACAGTTTTCGATATGATACATGGATACATGGATGAGAAGCAATTTCTAATTGAGTCCGGAGGGGGGGGGACGAGCTCAGCAATTTTTTGAATTTTTTGATTTATTTATATGAACCTAGCTAATCAAAATTGTCCGTCTTTTTATCGGTGCCATCGAAATCGGAGCCGCAATATGCGAGACGAGGCGGCTCGTCTGATCGGATGGCATTGGCGGTAGTGTGAGAGCACGTCGGGGCGAGTGCGAACGAGCGAGAAGAGAGGGGGGGGGGGTGGGTAGGGGGGCGGGGCCGGCCGGGTGTAGAATCCAGTGTGAGTGTGTGTGATGCCGGAGCGCCTCGAGCGCATTGCACGTGCACTTTGCCTCTGCCTCAACGCATTATTTTTCGTGAGTTTCCTGTTTTTGATCTACGATCGCGCGCGGAAGAAATTGTGGACGAGTTCTTCACCCTATTTCCACTCAACATCTCGTGAGGCATTTGGAATTTAGCCAATTATCACACAGCGTCTAAATAATTAGCATTGAAACCGCAAATTTTCGTTTGAAAAAGGTGCAGAACCCGCGAAAACTCGTCCATCCTATGACAAACGATTTCTCTGCCTTTGCGATTAACAGCAAATGCATCACACAAAACAGGTTTCTAGACGTAACATCAGTACATTTAGTTATCGACCGCAAGTTGAGGGATCGCATACGAAATTTTGCCTCCCCCCCCCCCCTCCCTCATTTACATATATTGGAATTTTCACAGCGTAGCGCTGAGCTTGGGGACAACACATTTCAAGAACATCAAATGGCAAAAGCATCAAATGTAACCGCTGCCAGCAAATAAGCAACAACAACGCTGCGCATTCACATTGGCAAATGACGGATTCGTAACAGTTGTCCACAGATCCCAGTTTGTGGGGCTAGTATTTATCTGCGCCCCATTCATCCTCTATTTACAGATATTGTCAATCTTTATTATTGTGTTCGTTTGTGCAGCCGCAATAAATGTGCCAAAACCAGACATCTCACCACAACCACTCACTTCATACCCTCAGGTAAGTAGATATCTCAATGTTTTTTCCTGGTTTTTGTTTCGTTTGAAGTTGGTTTATGTATTCACATTTCCCAAATGATTATATTATAATTTTATAATAAAAATAAACAGAAAATCTTTAAACTCGCAAACAAAAATTTCTGTCATGTGTTTATTGAATTTTTTTTGACGATTGAATTTCTTTTATTTTTCCACTCCTTCTTTACTTTTACTCCTATTCACAAATCATTTGAAAACTTCGGCAAATCCATGCGGTTCTGTATTTTTTTTCTTCATCTGAAATGCAGCATGCCCACTTATTTTCACTTTTTTTCATTTACAGATCTACCGAACATTAGCAAAATCAACGCGTGCTTTGCTTCTCCTTTTCTACCTCTTTATCTGAAATGCAACATGCTCTTATAGAGGGAGCTTTTTGTTCAAACGCTTAGCTGAAAAATCACAATTTCTTTTTTCCATAGCATTTTTTCCTTTTCTGTCACCATTTGTTCTATATTTGATTTCCTTTTTTCTACTTTTTCACTTTTTCTTTTTCCTTGTCCTTCTTTTTTTGTCTTAATTTTCTTCTATTTTATTTTTGAGTGCATGCATGAACTGATAATCCTTTAGAACTGGTGCAGAACAAATTTTCCACTTACTACTTAGAATCAAAATATTTGAGATACTTCAAGTTATGAATCACTTCGTTTTTCATGTTTTGATTAATTTGTTTGTTTATTTATTTTATATGTTTAATCAAACATTTCTACACAACGTAAGAGCCACATTTCTCCAGCCCCTTCTTCTACTGCTCGTGTTTATACTGGTCAATAATTCTCCTTTTATAGTCTGATTTTACAAATTTTCTGTACTTGTTGACTTTCTGCCTACTTTCTGTCTATTTTCTCTCGCAAAATCAGTATAAATAATCTAGACAAGTATAGATAATCTAGAAAAAGATACTAATACTTTATCGTAATCATTTTCACAATGATAAAAGTGTCAATGTAGCGTCACATGATTCTTAAATCCCTTGATACACTCCCTTAAATGCCTCCTTCTGAAAAAAATCAAAATTCTCAGCCTCTCTTTTGCTGTTCCCATGGACGCATTCTCATGCATGTCGATAGGCATTATGTCATCGTCTCGTTTTTTGTGTTCAAGGTTATCTGTCAGAACGTATTAATTGAATGCTGACACACCACGAAATGGCCACTTATCTTTGGTTTCACTGAGAAAAAAGCTTAACGCATGCTATTTCCGGCCATGGTCGCAAATATCAGGCAATCGTCGTCATTGAGTCATCGTATGTTATGCCTATTCTTGGCCTAAGCCCTTTCTTGGAGTGCGAACTATTAGTCAGCCATTGGCATTCTTTTCACATCTAATAAGTCTCCGTAAAAGTCTTAAATAAACTCTCACTTCTCATTGTTTTTCTCCCGTTCCTAGCTTTCACATGGGAAATACTTCTTTTTCCATTTTCGGAAACCGGACGTTCGACTTAGTAAAGTTCTCTTTTAGATTCTATGTATGTATTAGGTTGGTGCAAAAGTTTTGTCAGTTTTTTCAATCCATCGATAGATACGCTAGAATGAAGATAGACAAACATTTCTGTATCCGATGCAGAATTTCTTCCTGTTTCCAGCTGCTAAACTGCAGTTGTGTTTAGTTGCGAGAATGACGAGATATTTGCTGGAAATTACAACCACTCACTTTTACCATGTTCAATTTACGCTAATTTTGAAAATTTTGGTACGAGATATTCTTAGGAAATAACCAGCAGATAGCGCAAACCTTTTGCCAACAGAAGCAATTTTTTGTAGCCCTGCGGCTTGTCTTTCAGAATTTCTACGATTTATTTTTTGAAGGGACCAAATTTTACATTCCTATTTTAACCTCATGGATAAAATGTTGAACAGTTCAGTCACCATTCGATGCAAAGTCTTCTCCTTTTTCTAACACTTTCTTTTTTTGCCGAGACAGGCGAAATCTGTGGGGAAAATTGCAGTTCTCAATTTCAGGAATGCGCACTAACGTAGCCTATGTTTCAAAACCTTCATAATTTAAAGCAAAAATCGCTCATTTACTTTGTAATGGTAGCAGTAGTAATAATCGAGTGTTGAAACCTCAGTATTCTGTAGGTTTTGCAGTGTTTGGTGCAATAACAGGTTATGCGATTTTTCCATAACACAAGACTTCCAGAAAATTACTTAGCAAAATTCTGAAAAAGCAGCTGAAAGAAAGAAAAAAATTGCGTAAGTTGGCAAAAGGTTTGCCCTATCCGCTGGTTACAAGGGCTCCTCCGAAAGCTCATACAAAAATTTTGAAAATTAGTGAAATTTGGACATGGTGGAAACGAATGATTGCAATTTCCAGCAAATATCTCATCATTCTCTCAAAGAAACACAATGGAAGTTTGGCGTCTAGAAAGAGGAAGAAATTCTGCATCGGATACGTTTCGAAATGCTAATTTGTCTTCATTCTAACGTGTTTGCCGATGGATTGAAAAAACTGAGGAAACTTTTGCACCGACCTAATATGATGAGTTCCTGACCTGCGCTTTCGTATCTTTTGCTTGTTCAGTGTTCAACCGCATTTTTGGCATGTGGAATAAATTCAAACTTGTCTTATATTTTTATATTCACATCATACTGGCATAGGCGATCCTAAGAATCTACGAGGTCTCCTCAACTTTTAAATTATTGAAATGCATTAATTCAAATTTTGCTCGATGACCTTTGACTCTTCCAACAGGGCTTCTTCTAACCCTCTTGGCAGCTCCCAAGTTTGTGCCTATGATCAACTGGGAATCAAAAAGAATGGAGGAAATGCGAAGCTATTCAAATTATTATATTTTATTGGGAATAAAAGTGAAAAATGGAGGGGATCTTAGTTATTGGTGAGCGCCTGATGTATTGGAAACAGATGAGTAAATAGTGAATTTCTGTTTATAATGAATTTCTTTTTTTTTAGAAGTCCAAACAAAGCCCGCAACCATTTGGTACAAAAAAGTGGTATTTTTCGATAACAACTTTTATTTTCTATCTTATGAATGTATTTTCAGTACAAAGTGGAACCTTTTTGCGTTTTATACGCCAGAGGCGTGAGACAAACCGTATCACCAACTTTTTTTGCTTCTTGCACTTTATATCATATGAGTAACTCCATGACATTACTTCAAAACATCCACGCATTGAATAACAATGTGTCATCAATAAGCAGCTGGTAACACTGGGAACCTGGTTCTCCGTGATACAATGCTTTGCTCAGCATTGAAGAATATGTGTAAATATAGAGCAGACTTTGTTTTGGCTAAAAACTACGTTCCACTTGCAAAAATGTGTAAATAAAAACATAGACGGGCTACAAAATGTAGAGCTCAGTAAGAGGAAAAGAGTGCTTGTGCTTATTTTACATTTAAGTGAATGGAAATGAGTGAAAAGAGTAGAACGCAAATAAAAAAGAATTCGCGAAGGCTTGCGCTCAGTAACTTCGTGAAGCTAGAACAAACTAAATAAATTTTGGAAAGGTTAAACACTATATTCGGTAAAGTCATCAGCTGCTCAAAGGAGTGAGTTTTCTCAGTATAATTTTCTTGATAAATAACTGAGAATTGCGTCGGAAATTTGGACATCCTATATTAAGTTTAAAATCTTTTTCGTGATTCCTTCGAATATTGGGTTTTCACTCACCAGCTCAGCTCAGTCTAAAGCACCGGAAACTGATGTGCTTTCCATCTTTTCGAAATTAATTGCTTTTCGAAGAAGACCTGATTTACTTTAATTGCCGAAACCATTTCATCATCGGAAACTATTTTCAAAGAAAGTACACCATTTGATTTGTACTAATTGTATCATGTTACGTTTCACAAACTTTTCGCAAAATTTCATGATGGACAATCATCCGTGGCAGACTTAATAAAAACTTCTGGACTTTTTGTTGATTTTTCAACACTTCCACTCATACAAAATTTTATGAAACGTTTCACAACTATGTTACTCATTCTGCAGTAATATCAACACACTTTCGATTCGGGCTCCTTCCCAAATCCCACAGGAAAAGTTTTGCTCTGTTTACCTTGACCACGGCAATTATCCTACGCTTGAAGCAGGCTTGCAGCCTCCGGCGCAAAAATGTCAAGGGAAATACTACCTAGTATGTAGAAAAAAAATGATTTTGTACAATGAAGTATAAAATGCGATCGATAGACTCCCAGTTCCTCCAAATATTCGTATCCCACAGCGTTATGGGCACGGAGAATCCCATTTCCGTGCAAATGAATCCTTTGGAGCAGTTATTGACCAAAAGTCGATTCGACACAAACGGAAGGGAAGGATAGGGTATCTCAGGCTATAATTGCGCAGTCCAAGGAAACTTGCAGTAAAAGATATTGTGCAAGATCTGAATGCAGAGTAATTTTGCGCAACGCGCTTAATTACTGCTTGAGGCATTTTCTCATCAATTTTTTCTAGGAAAAAGCTTTTTGTGAGTCCATATTTAAGTATGGCACAATGAGATCAAATCGGAGAAAAAGAGACTGCAGAATGCTAGCAAAATAATCTTGCACAACAAGCCTTTTTTGCTCTGCCCTTTTTCTCATAATTCTCCCGTACTAATCACCACAATTCTCCACTGATGCGTACAGCTGATAGCGTAAGAGTCTTATTTTCTATCATGACAGCTATCCAGTGTATTCCGCTGAACCAACACCGACTAATCTTCAATGTCTGTATTTGTTCAAAGTGAAAACATTTATCTATTTGTCATCTCATGTTTTCTGACTAAAAGTGAAGCTGTCTTTCACATGTACCTTCTTTTTTTTTCATATAATGATAGCAGTTCCCCCTGGAGATAAACCAAAATAAACAGGGCTCGGCACAGGTGGCTCATAAACAAGCTCGATATCGTTTTTGGGACAAAAAGCAAAGGGGGTTCGTTTTGTGGCCAAAAAGACACAAAATTTGCGTCGTTTTTTTTTTGTCGACATTTAATTTTCTGGAGATTTTTTGGGGATCATGGTCTAAGGTCAAAGGAGACTTCGTAAATATTCGCAGAAGTCAAGGGGGACTTCGTTTTTTGCATTTTCAACTAGCCACCTCGTGCCAAGCCTTGAAAATAAAAGATTATAGTTAGCAAAACTTGTGATTGAAATTCTCACATTGAATAACAAAGGGAATCAATGTGTAAGAATAATTCTCATTTTATCAGATTATTATTGGAATTTTCATTTGAAACAACACTTTCAAAAAATTAGATATCCAAAATGAATCAAAATTGTAAGGATGATTCACACTAACATCTTTTTTACGGCATTCGCTGATTTTTCTCGACTCATTTTACCTGTAGTATCTGTGATTTTCGCACTGATTGAATTTTGAGATCTTCCACAATTTCCATAGTTCCTCGCCATTTCGAACATATAATTCAACATATAATTTATAAATATATTCTTCCGATTTTTAGAACTGGTTTGACCACCTACAAACAACGTTATTTCACTATTCTATGATGACTGTACTTCGTGCAGTAAATCACGCAAACTCGTTCAGGCGCAGATAAAAACGCACTGAATTTGTCAAATTGTCTCCCATAAAAACTCCACAATCGCAGATGTTCTGGGAAATTGGCCAAACGATACTGGTTGGAACACTTTTCCGCTATGGTGTATTGAGACTCTCGAGCGAAACTTTGCGACTCTAAAAAATCAAAAGAGTCAAGGTTGACACGGCGCAAGAAATTTGTACATAATGGATGGCGCGCATCTACTTGATATGCCGACGAGCGTTTATTTGCTGAAGTCGGCGCTTTGAAAGAAAATGTTTGGCTTTTGCTGCAACTAGTTTGTGGCATGCAAAAATGAACAGTAAGGCAGAAAAAGGAAGAAAATCAGGATATCAGATGTAGCAAAAGCAAAACATTTTCTTCAGATACGTTCAATTCAGACACTGGTACGTAATTCAGTATAATCACTTTGTTCCTATCATGATTCTGATCAAATTCTTTTGATATCTATCAAAATTTGTAAGAAAGAGATAAAATGAAGCTACTAGACAATTTTTGATAGGATCACCCCCCCCCCCCCTCGCAGTGGAACTTAGCATAAAAAATATAATTTTGCATGCGGTGAGTTGGCAGCAAGTCCGTATCGTGAAATTCGGACCCTCAAGACTTGGTGTGAATCTTATGAATTTGAAATATTTTAGAAAAATAATTTTGAAACCACTCTGAAACCACTTCGACACTGTATAAACAGTTTATACACGATTGCATAATTTATTAATTTGATTCATCCTTCTTCGGCTTTCTTGAGTATAATTTTTACACAATCAGAAAAAAGAAATTTATGCTTATTCTCGGTGCACACTGGACAATTTTTTGCGAAAGATTACCTTATGTGTTTGCATTTCTATTTTTCCATTTTTTTCCATTGTTTGCATTCTGATTCCATGAGGTATCCCCAGAATCAAAATAATTCACAAAACAACCAAAAATCATGCCATTGTGTCTATTCATTTTCATTTTAGTACATCGTGACCATCATTCTGATCGCCTCCTATGCTCTATGCCTATTCTTTCTGACTACGTTTGGTTTCATAGCAATATGTTTGTCAGGATCATTTCTTCTATCAGTGGTGAGTTACCGTTTGTCTTTTGAAAATTTGAAATTTTTCAGCCTTCGTTGTGCTTTCTCTATCGCTCCTTGTCTTTTTTACCATTGCTGTATGACTAAAAGCATGGGGGAAACTACGGGAAGGGGAGGTGGGAGGGGGAAGCGGAAGGTTGTGTCAATGCAGTTATGTCAATAACATCAGGCTTCTAAAGATGTGAGAGATGGCTTCGTAATGCGATATGTCTCTAGAGAGCTGTAATTGGATTAGAAATGAGTTCCTATTGCTCTCTAAGTGAAATTTAGGTTTCCCACATAGGTAAAATTTGAATCTTTTTTTGTCATTCGTGTTCTTCGCATAAATCATACTTGTGTGTGGCACAAAGCAACTATTCACCTATTCGTTCCTCTGACACTTCTATTCACGAGTTTTTCTCGTTCCTGGCGTTCAAAATGCCCTCTTCAACGTCCTCCTTTGTGCTCGAAATGGGCGCTTTTGGCTGGCACTGACTGCACAACCAACACATTGAAAGTGTAATCGATTCGTCGTTAGCAGAAGCTTGCAGCACTTGAGAATGAGTAGAGTCGTTGAAGGGCACGATCGCTCACACTCTCGAGGGATTTGAAACAATTCTTAGGTGGTAAAAACTTCGTTGAAAGGCCTGAGAAATTTGAATCGACCATTTGTTTTTTGGAACTCTACTTTCGTTTTAGCATTACTATTTTGTTCGATTATCCCACAATCAAGCTGATCCGAAATCTATATTTTCATTTATACAGCAAAACCTTGAAAAAGAAACACATCTCTTCCATTTTTTGCTTTTCGAATCTGGGTATCTCTTTAGCCTAAAAAAGCAATAAAACGAAAAAATTTGTTGACGATAAGAAGAAATTTGAAGTTGATTTCATCTCAAACAGCGGAGAGTTTATCCATGAAAGGCGGCACAACCCGTACTCCTCTCCAGGTCCCAAAAATGGGTAGAAAATATCAAAGTGGTTTCGTAGCACAGGCGGTTCCAAAATCTCTTTGGGGGCTGGACGAATTTTTTTATCAAATGAAGGTGCGTGGTGTCAGCCACGCACTCCAAACAATTTCCTGGGATACTTCTGAAAATTTTTGCTCCCCACGCCCCAGAAAAAATTCCTCGAGGGTCATTTGAATTTTTGAAAAATTTCAAGATTTTACTTAAGTCATCTACAAGTATAAAAGGTCATTTGAACATTTTCATGACGCTTGTCAACTTCCAAAAATTTCGCAGTTTCAATAAAATTTTGAAATTTCTTGATTCAAATAAGCCTCATGGAGGTATTTTCGCTCCCCCCCCCCATGACGTTGACCCCTCGGTCAGTCACTCATAGTTATGTAATTTTGCTTATAATTTGCTTTTGTCTGTGATGTTTATCAATTTTCGCTTGATAGATATCAATGTTGACCCTTTCACCGTATCAGAAACTGTGTGAAAATCCGTAGAATTTTGTGTTTCATGAAAATTATATATAATTTCATTATAGCTGCATAAATTAATGTCGCGGATAGAACTGTAGGGCAGTGACTTGCGCATTCTTTTGGGGAAAGTTCAGTTTGACGTGATTAGCGGCAATTTTTTTGCTCCAATATATTCATCACAGTAAGATGTGATTTCTTGCCCTTTCCTTGCTGAAAGAAAAGATTTAAATGTCTGAATTGCTTATCAGAATGATACTAAAGACGATTATAAACGAAATTGTAATAACTGAAGAAAGAGATAGAAAGGGAGAAATTTGTTATGTCACATATTTTGTCGGCTAAGCATGATTAATTTGCAAAAAAAGGAAGGGAATGGAGTGGGTGTAGCTACACGCTAATCTCATTAGACTGAGCTTCCACAGACGAAGACCCATCTAGTGTAATTCGCGTTCATCAGTACATCCTGTGTCTAGACATAAGAGTAATCTGTGCTAACACAGATCTAAACAAAATCTGGATCTTCCATCTGCACGCATTTAAAAATAAAAGCCTTGTAGAATTTCTGAACATAAGAAAGGGTAGTGAGAACTGAATTGGAAATTCATGTGGATAATTTTCGTTTTTCGGTCACATTTACGTGCATAGAAATGTTTAAATCATATTCGACAGTAGCTAAGCTTATTTTAAGCTTTTTGTAGCAAGTCAGCACGCAATTGCAAGTGTGCTTCCCGCAAGCTGCTTAGCTGAGAATCAATTCGAGATGGAAAGTCCAGCGGTCAAAATCGACAAAACGCCCAATTGTGTGAAAGAGCTCAGAAACCGGAAGAGACTCCCGTTAGTGTGGGCAGCGGAAACGGAGGGGATGCAAAAAATATGTATATGGTTCATAAAACAGGTTGATGGGAAAGAATAACCTACTCTTTCGCTACAAAAAATAACATCATGCGAACGAAAGACAGACTTGAAAATGAGAAAAAATTCCAATTGTTGATACAAGTAGTCTAATTTACAGATCAGAGCATAGATTTTTGAATTTTTTCATTCATATTTATAAAAACTGAAGTTTTCTGTAGATGTTGTAACCCGAATACATAGCGATAATTCCCACAGCATTTTTAGAAAATCGAGTTTATTTTACTGCAAAATACATACAGGGTGTCCCAAAAAAATGTTTAGAACGTTTGATCGTTAATATCTCTCTTCCCAAGAAGTCTTTTGCCTTGCTTCAGGTACCGTTTTGTAGAGCTGGCTTCATCTTAGATTTTCATTATAGAATCACCCATCTCTCTTCATTACTGTAGGATTACGGTAGAAGCTTGAAACATATGGTGTTAATGTGGAAAAAGCTGCCGTTTCAAAATTTTTCAAAAAAATGTGAAAACTTGCATAATAGGGTTTTTGTGGACGCTGAATTCAATACTCAACGATTCACAAGATTACGAAGCTTTTTAAACGGTGTAACCGCACTTTTAAGAAACATTGAAAAAATGGCCGCTACCTCTTACCTGGCATAATAACTCTTCAATGAAGCATCATAATAAACTGGGAACTTTACAGTTATAATCAGCAATTCTAATTAGCCTGGTGTAAAAGTTTTCAGGCTGTTTTGTTTCCTTTCTGAGGCAAAATATGGCCTTTCATGGTTTAAAACCCTCTTTGAAGTTTCTACCGTAACCCTACAGTAATGAAGAGAGATGGGTGATTCGTTCTATAATGGAAATCTAAGTTGAAGCCAGCTCTACAAAATGGTACCTGAAGCAAGGCAAAAGACTTTTTGGGAAGAGAGATATTAACGATCAAACGTTCTAAACATTTTTTTGGGACACCCTGTATATCGAACTGTCTTCAAAATTAACAGCAGGCATATAGAGTATTAGGCTAAAAAATTATTCTATATAGCAATTACTGGATAACAAAAGATTTACCGTTACATAAATCATATAGACTTAAACCCACTAAAGCTGATTTGAAGTTCACACTTATGATCACAGTTTTTTCATTAAAAAATCAACAAATTTCCATGCAAAACCTAATTCATTGCGTTTTAGCACATCCTCGCCCAAATAGCGATGATCTGTGCGCAACTCATTGCTGTCGCCTTTACAATGACAGTTAGAAAAAGGGTAAGTTGTTACTTTTAACAAGCAATTTTCTTCCTTAGGAAAGTTTCTCAAGTCATCACGTAAGAACTGTTTGTTAATCAATGCCAGCAGCTCATACGAACAATTTAGTTACATCTCAAACTCGAAGAATCCTGGCGGGATCGCCCTGGATGTATGGTAGGAGCCGAATGTGTTCCAGTACAACGGTTTCTACGCTCAGAGACGTTGTTGATGATCATACTATGCGTAGCTCTGATCTTGCAGGTGAGATTTTGTGGAGAAGGTTTTGTCTCCCCTTCCCTTTCTTTACAAAAGGAAGACTCTCTTGGCTAGAATTTGTAGGATTTTTTTTGATTTTTTAATGATAGAAAGTCATTGATTTATGCAGTTAAGTGGTGTTTTCATTTGTGAAATTAGTTCGAGATTAGTTCCCTTTGCTTAACTTTTCGGAGAAAATTCTTCCATCCAAAGTATCCCAGGAAATAATATTAGCGTTCTCGGTTTTTTGGTGAGGGGGGGGGGGGGGATTTCTCGAGTAAAGGATCGTGGTGTTAGGCGCAAAAAATTGGGAAACTCCAGATTTTTCGCAAGCTTCGTAGAAATTTTGAGAATAAGGGGCGCGGGGACACCAAAAAAAGATTTTACCGAAGCAATCAGATTCATCAAACTTATCAGCTATTATGATAGTTCACAATCTAACAACTGCTTGCATATTTCAATAAATTAGCAATCTTCATAATTTCGCGACCATTCTCGCGAAAGGGAGGAGGGGGGGGGGGGGGGGGGGGAGAAGTTACAAAACAAATCGTATCTTTAACTTATAAACCTTTTATAGATATTTCTGCTAATTGCAAGTGTTATCGTCTGTGAACACCGGTCACATGTTGAACGTCAACAACTCCTCAAACAACAAAACGAAGAAGAAGATGAATACTAATCGATTATCGATCGCATGATCACGATATGCGATCGATCAATGCACATAGAATCTCACCCATTATTGCCTCTATGCATCCCATATAACCTATGCATATCTTCATATTGTACCCAAAACTGCTTGAATGTACTTATGAGTACAAAAATTCACTTACTGTTAGATATATTTATTTGCCACCCTTATTCCTGATTTTTTTGTTTTCTTTCCTCGCTACCAGCATAATTTATCCTTTCCATAATTACACTTTCCAACTTTTATTCTTGCATCAAATTGCATACTGTCAGTAACGAATCAATCAACGATTCGTCAAAAGCCTTCTGTAACTGTCCAGTTCTTTTTCCACAGAAAATGTTCACTGCGCGCCATTTCTTTTCTTCCGGTTCCCTTACGATCTGTGATTGTAAACCCCGGTGCCTTTGCTTTTCTCAACTTACGCTGTTGCAGCTGTCGAAACGGGCTACTTATGTCAAGACATCTTTTTTCAATCAAAAATAAATATTTGCTCAGATTCTGATGCTCTCCCTGTTTACAAATTTTTCGAATCCATCAGTGAAAATATAAATATCAGTTTATATACTTTATACATGGAGCAGAGCACGGTGAAATGACATTCAACAAGGAATAAAAATAAGTGCATATGAAGTAGTTTTAAGCATAAAAAACATGATCGAAAAATATGCGAGGAGTCCGTAGTCAAGCCTGTCAGCTAATTTGATCATGGAAATTAAGAATTTCACCAGGGGTAAATCACAAAATTAGACTCACAAAATTTGCTTTTGTCTCGAATCTTCCCAAGATTTCACGAAACATTTCACATCTGAATCAAGGTGCAAAAAATCATTTTGAAAATTTGAGGAGCGAAACCATTTTCGCCAGATTTTTATGAAAAAAATTATATGCTTAGAATTCAATTTTTTTGGTAATCCATGGCTCAAAAAAAGCGAAAGGAAATCTTAGCAAAAATCCGTCCCCTAGCTTTCAAAGTGCCCCCTTACGATATAAAAGCATAAAAGCCACCACGCATTCCACAAGAGGGACTACGATCAAAAGATGGGTAGATAATTTTGTGAAAATCATGACATAAACTTTTGGCAATCAAAAACTGATCAAAATTGGCTGACGTGCTCAATACTCAGACAGCTAAGAAATTCCAGCGTAAGATACCAATGTGAAAATCTTAGAGTCAACTAGTATGTGCGAGGTATATAAGTGATACAATACGATGCCAACGATTGCAAATGGGCATCCTGTGACAATTGCTGTGAATAAGATCCAGATGTGATAAACCTGTAAATAAAGCTAACTTGATGCAAATAAATGGGGCAAGATCCAACAGGATGATGCACCGGGTTATGAGTGACAGAAAATGAGTAGCAAGATCATGAATGACACTGAGATAACAATGACACATCCATACATTCAAATCAGAGTACAGGGGTAAAAGAGGCATTCAGGCGTCATGGTAAAATTTTCAAAAAAAAAGTGAAATTATGATTCTAACAAATATTGCTTGTACACTTTTTCAAGTTCCTCATTTGCAAATCGTGGCACAAAGTTGACGTGAACTATGGAGTCAAATCCTTCGGAAAGTTCGGGATCCTGAGCAAACAATTTTTTAATGCGTTTCGTGCCAGCAATTTGTTATGTCGAAGGGTTCTCCTTCATGAATATAGGCGCTAATCCCAAATTCTACTCAAATGTTGATCTATTGGGGAAACAAATTTTCTTTGTATGAAAAGTACTCAGCTCCGCCTTCATGAAGCTACATCTGACCACCACCATCTGTTCATGAAAGCAAGGACCAGCAGCCCGATAAAAAAGCCACAAAATTGTCACTTGACATAAAGAGAATATGACTTACTTGATATCTCTTGGCATACGTTCGTAACACCATGATCGTAACCTCATTGTGGTCATCTTCTGTCAATAATCGGAATTTGACATTGTGATTGGCATGATTGAGATCGCAAGTGAGTTCGAAGCAACGACATGGAACCTTCATTTCTTTAGCCAACGCAGTATAGCGACTCCTGTAAAGTAACAAATGAAAAAAGATCACGGAAGTACTTGGTATACCTGGATTCCTTGTCTGGATTCGTGTTATCAACGACTACGCTCTTTCCATCTCTCAGATAGACTCGAGCCCGTTCACAGCACTTCTGCCAGGTGCCTAATGTATCGCGATTGACTATCATGTAGCCATGTTCCTTCTCGAGCATACGGGCAAACGTTGATTTTCCGGATCCAGGAAAGCCAACAATTACTATGACCTCTTTTTCAGAGGAGGGTAGAGGAGCATCTGAAAAACTAAAATTGTCTACTGCATTATAAGGCCGTACGTCCGATTTTGCATGAAAAAGGAGAATAAATATATTATCTACCATTATCTACATGAATGAACAACATTTCAGCGCTGAATACAGCTGAGATACCGGAAATCATTCTCAATCTTACCTTCAGGCTCTAACAAAGGTTTCTTCGCATCCAAATAAGCAACAGGATCAAACGCTGGAGGACCCCATGGCTCGGATGTTTTTTGATTGAGGAAAAACTCCTCAGGAGTGAAGAACTTGACGCCTACGTTCAACGCAAAAAAGCGATCGGCACATGAATGATCTTTCTTTGGACGCGTCTACAAATACATTCCATTAGCAGTTAGGCATAACGAAAGTGCACAAACCTTAGTTTTATGTCTTCCTGCTGCATCTCCAACATATAGCGACTTGCTAACGTCCACGTCCACCTCACCATTAGCCTCCACAAGTTCCTTCCACATACCCGTGCATGGTTTACGGTACTCTCCATCACCAATTGAGACAAAAGCCTGAAAGTACATTATTGGGGAATAAGTTGCTACATTTGAATGACAAAATAACAAAGTCCAGTAAGAAGGACTAACCTGGCATGGTACACCAAGCTTAGCTATAATCGCCTCCATCTTCCGTTTGAACTCCTTTTTGTTGACTTTTCCCGTCTGGAAAGTATATACAATTTCAAATGCGACTACAGCCGCATAGAAATATAATTGATCGTATTCAGTTTTTGTGTAATAAGATGATTTCATAATTTTCTTGAAAATGGCTACCGCCATCTCAGTTGGGCAAACTTCTGTACAACTTGAGAAGATTAAAGAAGTATTCCAGTACTTACCCCCCCCCCTCCCCCAACCTCGCCCCAAAACAGATAAAATTGTGACTGCCACAAGGCACGTTCACCTGTAGACCTTTCTGGTTTGTGAAGATAACAATCTTATATTCCTCTTCCCCATATAACTTCTTCATACGTGGTACTACTTGATTGTAGAGCATTCTCCAGTCAGTTAAATCGACAGGGAAAACTTTTCCGGATTTTGTCGTAATCAGAGTGCCATCTGAAACGATAGTTCCAGAAAAACAGAAAAATTAAGCAAATAACGTACTCACCCATATCGAAAGCAGCAACTTTTTCACGTGGCTCGCATTTTTTATGTGTGTAAATTAGAATAGTATCCGAATGCTTTGCTTCCCAAACTCCAGCCATTTCTTTAGTGTTTCCAAACATATCTAGAGGAAAATCTAACTTGTTCTTGACAAGACTGGGAATCTATGGGGAAAGATATCCTCTATCATTTTAGCTGATGATATGCCTCTCGAGCTTTACTGTTAGTTAGCAAGCTTTACATGGCCGTAGCATAGCTGTATGTAAATTGGAAGGGTGTGGTGCAAATAACAAGAAGAATCGCCGCTATGGAGTGGAAACATACAAATTCATTCGTGGACCGGCAATTACGGATTGGTGATTCCCTCAGCACCTACTTGAATTCTTTGCATTCACAAACGCATTCATGGCATTTTTTAGCCATGGAGCCACCTCCAGGCTCCGCATATCAAATCCAAAATATCAGGTAAAATAAGGCGAGTGCTATGGATGTTTCCCTCAGACAGAGAAAGATCAGAAGTTGCCGCCGAAGACCTCCGATAAGACTACCCATACTAGAGAAAATGGATGCCGCCAGTGCGCTCTGGGCTGATCACAGGATCGCAAGTATCATGTAACACATTTCCTCAGTTTGTATAGATCCTTTAACGTTTTTCCTAGTCTCAACGTGAACTCCTTCACAAATTTCCTTTTCTTAAAGCAATGTTCGGGCAAAAAGTCGATTTTAAAATTCTGTGCATACCCGGACTTATTCGCTATGCTGAATCCGAATTTCCACCTGGAAAGCGCGAAAACGGCGAAAAAGGATCTGACGCAGGAGGGAAATTAACAGGTGAGGGGAGGGGGGGGGGGGTCACTGTAAATTCACGCTCCAGCTTCCGGAGCGATCTTGTCGGTTCCGATTTCAAGTCACTCGTCAGCACTTGGCCGGCGGCGATGTCAGGGTGGCTAGTGGAATCGAGAAGATCGCTACCGAAGCTGGGAACGTGAATTCACAGTGGGGAAAATCCCGCCCATCTGCTAATTTCCATCTTCCATCCTGCGAGCCCTTTCTCACCGATGTCGCACTTTCTAGTGTGGATTTTCGGATTCAACATAGCAAATAGACCCGGATAAGACAGATCTCAAATCGACTTTTTGCCCGGACGCTACTTTTAAAGACCCACAGGTTACCGACAAAGTGAGAAAGATCGCCACAGCTCATTCAATACAAACAGTAAGAAATAGGGGAAAGTGCTCACAGATATTACCCGCCTTGTTAACTGACTAAACAGTCGAGCATTTTGTTAGCATCGGGAAGACAAGAATTAAGAAAAAGATGAAAAAGGGAAGCTAAACTCCATTGCGTATGAAACTTACCAACGTTATTGTCTTTCACTTTTCCGTCTGCAGTCCTCTTCATTGCGAACTAAAGTACGCGTCTAGCGTTCTCAGTCTTGCACGAGGTGATATGCTGCTAATTCAGATGAAAATGCAGTGTTTACTTCATTCAGCAGATCTCCAAAACGTGCATTTTGGTAGAGAAGGCGAAAACCGCAGCACTTTGTAAGCACAAAAGAAGGAAATCAAGCATTTATTTGGCAGTTAGATATGGTCGGTACAGTAATAAAATCTAAGAACTTCTAAGAGGCTAACTGGAGATCGTAGGATTACTTCTTTCCTCTCAATAATGCACGCTTTCCTTGTCCAATCGGCGGTCGGACAACTTTTCCTCGTAAGATCTTCAGCTCATCTTGTACCTAATAAATCAGTTTGACAAGATTCAAAATATCCAAGCTTTCAAAATGAAACGCAGTTGGAAAAAAAAAGGAAAAGTTGAGGGCTCACCTGTCGGAAAATGACATGTTCATCAAAGAACAATCCATGGAATCGAAGCATTTTGGTGAGATAATGGAACATCGGTAGATTGGGGTAGTATTTTACCGATAACTGCTCTTTTGTTTCATATGGTTCAGCAGACATAACTCGTACAACCTGGAGTATAACTATTTGTTTCGAATTATAGATTCCAGGTAAAAAGTGCGAGCTAACCTTCATACTTCTCGCATCTGTAGCACTAACAACTTCACCAAAGATTCTTTTACTAAGTCGGTCCATACGTTTCCCATACGGAGTTGCCTCTCCTATGCCTCTTCCAACGTGTACTATTCGGGATGCGGCAAGCCGCGACATTTCTATTATCTCACCATTGGTAAGGATACATAAATTTTTGAGTTTTTGCAAGAGGGAAACGGTATTATCATTTGTTGTGGAAGAATCGAGCATGAATATGCAGTATCAAAGGTAGCAAAATGATTTATTGTAACCGGTCAGCACTGAAGTGAGTTTAACGTTGGATAAAACCCTACAAGGGAGCTGAGAAAATGTGAAAGAAATGTGAGCAGTCCGTAAACTTAAAGTTACGAAAATTATCAATAAACGAGATCGTTACCATACAAATAAAATCATCAGTTTTAAAGGAGAATTATGTGACCTATACAAAAGGCAGTAGGCTCAATGAAGTAAAGCGTTGAAAAAAAAAACGCGGAAAAAAGGGCTGCAGAATACCCGGTTACGTTTTCTTGATGAAAAAGCTGTTTATCGACTTTGTTCCCTTGCTGGCTTGCTGCAGTTTCTTGGCAACTACTGACTCTTTAGGCTTCTGAAACATCAGCTGTAACTTGGATAAAGATCAGAAAAATTAGTAAGACTGGAGCCAAACATCAAAATTACAAAGATCTTCCAGACCTCAAAATAACAGAACAAACATTCGAAAAATAATAATATCCAGATAACTCAAACTTCGAACACGAACCTTGACCGGCTTCAGCTCATCCTCATATAGAACGTCCGCCTTCCTCTTCATTGACATGTCCACATGCTCGTTTTCGTCATTAACGGGATCCTTAATGCAAAGATGCACTTTAGCCAAAGCTGCTATTTCCGGATTTAGATAGTCACAGAGCACACCGAAAGTGTACCGGTCAAGCACTTCTTCTGCAAAGCAACTGGTTAGGTATCTCAACATATCAAGCCAACTTCCGAAATTGAGCACAAGAAAAAGGTACTCACGATTCTCTATAATCGACTTATGTAAGCAGTTTTCCCCAACCAGTGCATCGCGAAGCCTTTGAAATCGACCATTTATCCACTCGAGTGTTTTAGCCTCGTCAAATCGGTACACTTTCGTATCACAGATTTCTATAATGATCATTTTTGAGCTAAACTCAAGCTTAAGTCCTTCCACATTATCAAAGAAAAAATAGGTAAGATCACTCAGATAGTTCCATACTGACAACGTCCAAAGTGATCAAGAGTGCAAAGCCATGTTATATTCACCTTTGGAATCAGCTATCTTGTCAACAGTTCTCAAAAACTGCTCATTCTTTAACAATTCGGCTATGGAAGGACTATCATTATCACTCAAGATTTCTTCAACTTCCATAAATTTGCTCTAAAGCGATACAATGAGTAAAGAAATGAAGTCTCACAGAAAGAAAAAAGGTCATGCCCCACCCTAGAAGTCAAGAAATAAGGCAGGGCTAAGAACAACGGATGCACAGGGGATAGCACCCGTATCAACCCATCCGATACGACACTTTCGCCGTAAAACCACGAGCGATGAGATTCCCCCATGGAAACGACCTAAAACTGCGAAGGATAAACAAGCTGGACGAAGATAAGTTCGTACTCTTACTTCATCACAGAATTTCTCACTAATTCGATATAAACAAGTGGTTTGGTTCTTTGGATGCCTAACTAGATAGAACCTGCTATCGGAGAGAGTATTTTCTGGAAAGTAGCAGCCAGATCAATTAGAGGAATAGATTGCGACTAACTCTAACCTCTGGCTATAATGAACTTCCGTTCGTAACTCGAGTCAGAAGCGGGAGGTCCACCTTTCTTGGGTGCTTCAATGTCAACTGCTTCCATCTCCTCGTCTGCCTGAGGCTCAATCTTTGCTGCTGCTCTCGTTTGCCGGACCATCTGCGAGAGTATATTCAAAAATCACCAAGTCAAGTTCCCTTCGAAAATGTAGTAAAACCGCATTTTTGAGTTTTGGTGGTAGCGATGCTACCTTGCTGCATTCAACCCAGGTACAAAATACACCACGAACAATATGACAACTGTCAGTTATCTACTTCTAAAATCCAGTGATCACCGAATCACCACTCTTCAAAGTCCACAACGAATACGAATAGTGTTAAGCACAAGTACTCCAGAACCAACCGTATTGATATGGAAGACTTTAATGCCAAATATTTACTTCTTCGAAAGCCTTGTAGAATCACAACACCAAAGGTTGCACATATCAATGAAATGACCAATTCCAACCTCGTCTTATATACATCAAAGAGCTCTGAGGACAACTCTGGTCAGAGGAAACAGACAATGGGTAATATAACACTATGTAAAAGTCAAAAGACTAGGAAAGTCACTCTAGAAGTGAATGTTCATAGAGTGAGTAAATAACTCCTTGTTCGAATGACAGATTGCTATCAAACGGCAATCAAATACCTTACTGATGAAACGCCGAAGTCCATATAGATGAAGGAAAAAAGGGAATACCAAACCAGTATGTCAGTAGCAAAAGTATACGAAGGCAAAACATGCAAGAAGAAGACCATAGAGAATGAAGACTCAGGAAAGAAGATCTGAGAGGTAATCAACCAACTAAAACAATCCACCGCCTTTGCCGCCGCCTGCTTTTTGCAGTTGCGCCATCATATTTTGCAATCCACCCATTCCGCCCATTTGTTGCAAAACCCGTGGATCCATCATCTTAGCCATTTGCTGGTTCAGCTTCATCATTTGGGCAGGATTGACGTTCTTTGGATTGATGTCACCGTTCTTGCCCTAAATAAACTTTCTAAAAAATTGCACAGAACTCTAAGTCATGATAAATAAAACATTTTTCACGCTTTCGTTTGCTCCAGAGTAAACATTACATGCAATTTAGAATAAATTTAGAATGGAAAAAAATAAGTCTACGCACCGAGAACAATCCCTTGATTGAACCCATCTTCTTCACCATGTCTGAGAACTTCTTGTACTGACTCAACAGATCACGAACCTGTCAACTGGTGAGATGAGTAAAACTGATCATAATGTAATCACCAACTTACCTCCGCCTGCGTTGTGCCCGATCCTCGGGCAACTCTTATCACTCTTCCCGGTTCTTTAGAAAACAATTCAGATGCTTTGGGATGATCAAGTTCTAGAAGAAAAATAAAATAAAGTAAAGGAGACAAACGACCCATAAATATCATACCTGTGTCGCTCATGGAATCCATTATTGTCATGAGCTTTTTCAATCTACCAACTGATTCTTTCTCGTTGCCCTTCGTCATGAATTCGGGCCCAAAACCAGGAATCATACTCTGGAAAAATAAACAGTAGAGGACAAATTGAAGAAGACGTTTAATCTACCATTATCTGACTGAATGGCCCCATTTTCATGATATTCTGGAACTGCTCATACATATCGCGAAGTGTAAAGAGACCTAGAGCAAATCTATGACTATGGCAAACAAGCTCTACACCTAACTAACCATGCTTCAAACGGCTAACAAGCTCTTCATTATCCTTTATGCCAATATCATTGACCATATCCACCAATCCAGCAATATCTCCCATTCCAAGAAGTTTCTGCACAAATGCCTTCGGTTTGAACAGTTCAAAGTCATCAATATGCTCGCCAGTACCGATGAATATGACTGGGGAGTGAGTGACAGCCACACTGAACAAAAAGCCTAATAAAAACAGTTGAAAAATCCTCCGACCTCATAGCTTCGAAAAAATAGGTTTAGGAACTAATGGTAGGCTCAAACTCACGCTGACAGTGCTCCACCACCCTTAGCATGTGAATCAAGCTTAGTGATGATGACTGAGGCAACGTCGACAGTTTCTGAGAAGGCACGAGCTTGCGCTTCGCAAGCTTGACCGATAGACGCATCCATGACGAAAACGACATTGTCTGGGTTCTGAACGGAAGATACAGCAAATGTTTAAAAGAGAAGGGAGAGAATGAAAGATCACACTTACCACAGCATTTGAGACCTGCAACATTTCTTCGAACAACGAAGCTTCTTGCTTGTGTCTACCAGATGTATCAACGATTATTATCTCAAAGTTCTCTTTCTTGAACTTTTCCACACCTTCAGCTGCGATCACAACGGGATCCATTTCGGAGTAAGAACCTAAACATGAACAATGATCAAAAAGTTTTCAGATTTAAGATACATTCATACTACTTCAAATGTAGCTTAAAAACGGAATAAGGGAGGTATGAGTTATGATGCTTACCGTAGAAGGGAATCCTAGCCTTCGTAGCGTTTTGCTTCAGCTGATCGAAAGCACCAGCACGGAAAGTATCCGCGCAAATCAAACAAGTTTTCCAGCCTTTTCTCTGATAGAAATACGCCATCTAAATTGAATGATACAGTAAAAGTCTTTAGTTTTCGAGAGTTGATGTTCAGATGTTTACCTTGGTACAAGTGGTTGTTTTACCGGAACCTTGCAGACCGACGAACATGATCACATTCGGTTGTCCTTTCTTTGGTTGATAAGCAGTCACCCCTGGATCCACAAGCTTGAGCAGCTCGTTAAACACGGTTTTCTGGATAAGCCGTCGCTTATTTACTCCACCGACCATCTCTTCAAAATTGATAGCTTTCCTAAACAAGGGCTTGTGATTCAGATTCCGAAACGATCATATTTTAAACGAGCGCCACTTACTTGACATTGTCTTTCAGTTGCTTCACCAGTCTAATGTGAACGTCAGACTCGATGAGTGCCATGCAAACCTAAACTTACAGGAAATCAATTAGAAAACCATGAACTAAAAACAACGATAAACCCTATCGTTCTATAGTGATTTTCACAAACAACAAAATAGTACCTCCTTGAGCATAGCATCAAGCTCTTCCTCATTGATAATAGTGGCTTGTCCGAGCTTTCCGATGGCATTTCGGATTTTCCGACCAAGATCAGCTAACACCATCCTGAAAATTCCGAGTGAATTTTGCGAATTAAACAATTCTCAACAGATAGCAAGGAATATGCACGATCCGAAAGTCAGAGCAATGGAATTTAGATGAGCTCAATGATTTGGATGATTGTAATACTACTGACTAAACATCCTGTTACAGAAGGGAATTCCAACAATTATGCTCTCAAAAACAGAGCTGAGCTTTCGAGAAGTATGGGAAACCATCGTCATGCAGAAATCAAGAATCTTGCTTCACCTGCACACACTTTACAAATCAAAACAAGATAAAAATCCAGCGCTGAAAAACTTCGACCTGAAAGAAAATGCTGAAAATATCGCCGAAAATGATGCACGTGTTCGGATAATTATTAGTCTGCAATAGTGCGTTTCATTGACAGAGCTGCACGAGCATATGCAGATTACATCTGGTTCGAACGGAAACGAAGCGAAAATTAGGTCCCTTACATTCTAATACAATGTCAGACACGAAATATTTCTTTCTTTCCCTTATCTGTTCCAAAAAGCGCAGGTTCGACTAAAAGTATTGCTACGACGGACCACTCCTGCAAAATGTCAAGTAACAAATGTCAAAAAATGTAATCAATGGATCTTCACAACATCCTTATCGAGGAAGAAAGATTATCTATAAAAACAGCGCATGATCCATCGTCGAGTTATGTATGTTCTCTGGAAGCAAAAAACAGTTGCCTCCATGCGGGATTGAACCGCAGACCTTCTGTTTACGAGACAGACGCTCTGCCACTGAGCTATAGAGGCGCATTCTCGCCAATCTCCGACGAATTTCAAAAACAGGGTCACACTTCGTATAGATCTGTAAATGTTCTCCTTTCTGTTCTAATTTTCTCGACCGGTCGTCTAAGGCTTTCTCTCCTTACAGTTAAATAAGGTCCGGGTAAATTTAGATACGGAAGTGTCAAGTCCAAGAGGTGCACTCTCTTGACTTGAATCCTTCACCCTGATTGTCTTACTTTATATGAACATAACATTTATGACTAGAATCTTTATTATATATTTGCATGTATAAGAGAAGGGGAAGGGTAACCGCCGGTCACCCGGTTAGGCACAGCTCATCTGGAGTTGCTGGGCACCGCCCAGTTGGCGTGGAGACTGTCGGACCATCCAGTTAGTCTGCGTCTCGACATGTCCATTCCATAGTAAAGCTCGTCCCGAGCTTTCATCTTTGACCATGGCTTGAGATTAGGAACCTGTTATCGTCATCAACCTGCCCATTCGCTTTGTCATTTGCCCATTTGTACCATTTGCTTCGTCGTAGAGGCCAGGAGAGTATGCTGTGGTTGCCATCATCGTCTTCAATACTGCCCATATACCATTTATCTCGTGGCTGCTGCGATTGAGTGCAGGAAGGTGCGTTGATACCGTTATTGTCACCAAGGTTGCCCATTTGCCATCTGTTGCTGCTGCGTATCTTGAGGGCAGGGTTGGGTTGCTGATCGCTTCGTGGTTAGTTGCTGGATTGCTTTTCATAAGTGGACAAGGGGAAAAGGCTCATAGGTAGGAGCGGCTTTCGCACGCCCTGTCAAAAGAAAGAGCTCGTCTCGAGCTGAGAATCAAGCGCAGCAAAATGAGATTGGAAATGTGATGGTTATCAAGCTGGTGTGCGGGCAAGGCTTCCGCGATTAGGGACGGAAGAATGCGGTAATGATGATACCAATGCGTCGTGGATGGGTGAGCTCTGTCCGAGCGGAGGGAACGAGTATTGCAATGCTTGGAGTGAGGATAAACAACATGGTAGAAGCGGCGTAGTTTGAAAGTTGAATTGGGATATGTTCAAAATTTTGATATGTGGTGATGGGGTTGTCGTGAATATTGAAGAAATAATATACATGAAAAATGCAGACAACAATAATGCAAATCAAAGTCGCTACTGCGATAGAACGTTCAAAATTTTGACGTTTTGAAGATTCGTCGTTACAACATTCAAAAAAATCAAGGGCAACAAAAACATGAAATTTTCGGAATCTATCATGTGAGCAACTCATGAGGAAACACTTTCCTAACGCTGCCCACAAGGGCGTGGGGTAAAATTTTGAATGGCTGAAAGGCTTCTCCGAGTCGCCTATCAGAGAAGTCTTTCTTGTTATAGTGCAGACGCTTGCGGCAAACTTACTCTGCCAGTAGCCGCTGCGTATGTAGAATTGATGTGAGTTTGCTACTGGCACTCAAAATATCCAGTCTTTTTAGACGCTCTGAACATCTGATACCAAATCAATCAATACAAAGGTAACACAGTTGTAATTGAGCATATGCATAGCTTCTGTCTTCCTCATATGCTCTGAACAAGTGAGTGTAGACTAAAACTCGGATAGAAAATCGCTTATAATACAATGGTGAACACTTGGCTGGGAACAATGTTGACATGAAGAAGAAATAAGATTTTCATGGAGCGGTCATTCGAGGATATCAATAGGAACAAAACAATTCTAATTCCACTGTACTAATTCTCCTTCAGTTACTCGGTCTTTGTTTCTCAGCCTCGTTTTGCATATCTGAAACTGTCGCGAGCGTATTAGTCGCGCGAGGTGAGATTCATACAGGCCTTTGTATCGCACGGTCGTTTTGCGGTTAGGAAAGTACCGGAGTTGACTCAAAGGTAACTAGTCATCATTGTGAGAAGCTGATCAGCAGAAAAGTGTAAGCGACGCTTATGCTGTCATTTTTTCTAAAATGGACAGTTAAGGAATTTTTTTTTAACTACGGCTGAATTCAGTTGAATCCAAGTAATTCTCTGATGTTACGCTAGAATTTTTTTTGTATGGTAGATGATAACCGATGGTTGAAATCCACCTGCTAAGCGCTGACGAAAATGCAAAGTGAACGAATTTGTAGCCCTTTCGCCACCTTTTTTTGTTTTTGGAAGCCTATGTTGAACGGTCTTGGATCATTTATCAAAAGTATAGAATAGTAGTTTCAAGAAGTAATGACCGATGCTGAAAAAAGATCAATTTTACCAGTATTTTCCTCTTTGATGAGAGAACAAGTAAGACATAGGTCTCACCTCCAAACCTTTCCAAAGATTTCAATGGATGAAATAAGAAACCAAACGATAAAGCAAAAAAACTTTTTAAATATGCAGTCTGTATGGTCAGCTTTGCCAGTCATGTCTTGCAACCTTTTTGGAAAGTGCCATGAAAGATTGTTGCAATGTCAAAGGACACCGCTTAGTGGAGTTTTTTTTTGACCTTTTTGAATTTCTTTTAAGGAATTAAGCTGTTTTAGAGAAAAAAACACTTAGTAACTTCCGAACCCGAGGCTAGGTGCCTTGAACACTAGCTGTATTGCTCGGCTGCAAAAGTGCGCTTTTACATTTAAAAAAAATTTGTTAGTGACATTTTACAACCCAGAGTGAGACCCTTCCAGTCTTTTTCCAGAGCTCTGAACATCTGAATTCGACCGAGAAGGATGATCAAGCTGCTTAATGACTTTCTTTTTTCTGGACCTCATAAAGTTTATGTTTAGAAAATTGGTATAATTCATGCACAGTAGTTGACGGTTTCTAAGAAAGTACTCGGCGTTGCTTCGAAAGTGAGACTTGTGTGATATAGTTGAGAAATTGGTGAAACATCGAGATTTTAGCAACTCAAATTGATAAGTGCTTTCATGAAGACTGAGAGCGATTTGGAATTTTATTTATAAGTTGCTAGCGAAACATACGAGTCTTGAAGAATTTTTTTTTTTGAAAACTATATCGGTGATCTTTTGAAACAGAAAACTACTATTCTCCTGAACTCAAATCTGCGTAGCAAATAGCAAGAAGCTGCTTCGTGAAGCGGCGGTACTGATGCTCGTGGCAGTAGATTAGGAAAAATTGATAACTCAGAAAAGAGATTTTGTTTTGCTGTTCTAGGGATGTAAATCTTATCAAAGGAGATGCAGAAAACTGATTTTCCTAGACTTTGGTTACAGTTAGCTCAGCCAACAAGCAAAAATTTGAGAATCGCTGGGGCGACGGCGATCAGTATTTCCTTCGCGGTGATCCAATTTGTCGCTTTAGCACTGCGTCGCGTCTCTAAGCGGTGCCGCGAAAATTTTCGAAAAGAACATTTTTATTTAGTCATGGAGCTCTTCTCTGATACATTTCAAAAGTCAAGTTTGGTCAACAGTAGGTGCAAATCGTCACCAAATTTCGATCTAATATGATAATGAGCACAGAATTTTAGATAAATTCTATACGATGCGATTTTGAGTAAGATTGCCATCCACGTGTCTTGAGAAAGAGGACAAAAATAGATGAGGAGTTGAAATGGCTGAAAACTAGCACAGACAACTGCTTTTTTTGGATAAATAAATCTACAAAGAAGGAGGTTACAAAAGTGCTTGACAAGAAAGCAAAGGCTGGTCTTCTGAAAATCTTGGCAGGTTTTTTTTAAAGTAACTTTGCAGTTGTGAATAGTGATTTTTCAAAAAACTTTTTTTTTGATTTTTTTTGAGATTATTACAAGTATTTTTCTTGAAGGTTGTGAGTAAATCAATCAACCACATCATAATAAGGGTTTCATATAGTCTCAATTTCGAGAACTCATTGAAACTCATGGTATTCTCTGAAAATACCTTTTTTTTTGGAATAAAGACTCGTTTTTGGTAAGTTTGCCTCAATTCTCTTGGCAGACAACCAAACGAATTCACGAATTAGCGAATTTAGCTAGTCATCGTGATTCATGAGCTTCTTTTTGAAACCAAACTAAAGTCATGCTGACATGTCAATTTGAGGTAGTGGTTAGCTCCCACATTTTCTCAAAGACTCAAACATGGGTGACCTACGTTGGTTTTTTTTTTTCAAATTTTTTTTCAAATAAGCGTGAAAAGGGTAAACCAAAAAACGTAGACAAGGGCTAGAAAAGCATACCTCTTATGGATGTGCGAGTAGAGTTGTAGGAAAGTTTTCCATGAAATCTGTTGGTCCTTCCCTAGAGAATATCATTTCGAGGAGTCCTTGGGACGGAACCTCTTTCCAGTCGTACTCGGCTTCCATAAAAATGCT